GGGGGTCACGGCTGAATATGTAAGCGCCCAGGAAGCGTTCTTTGAAAACGTGCCATAAAGGGCACTAACACTTCAGCGTGCCACGGTGTTCAGCGAGTGTTCCATTTTTTTAGTATCCCTGGCAGTCGGTAACAACAATGCTGAGGCAGCCCAAAGAGCTTCGTCACGCCCTCTGGTCCACTGTCGGGTGCTTATTGCAAACGATCACCAAGATTCTCACGTTGCGAAATCCAAGGAACACACTCACACACGCACATGCGGTAACGCTGATGCCACACCTTTTGCGGACGGTAAATCACAGACGCTCACGTTCCACAGAACACACACGTGGACATCCGTGTACATTAGTGTACACGAATGACCAAGACGACAATCCTAGAGAGTGGTCATAAGACCTTTTTACAGGAAGGAAAAAAACACCGCCATGATGAACTGTGCGCGGGAGTACGAAATGTAAGGGCGCAGCGTTGCCAGTGCGATTTCGAGGAGACACGCCAATTTGCACAGCCCAAGGAGGGCTATGGCGGCGCTCAGGGAGGCGTTTATGAAAAGGTGAATAGCGACACAGAGAATAGACGCCGTGCTGCTGCTTCACGCTGCCAAACCAACGGAACGCGGAGAAACTCTGCCGCTTCGGTGCACTTGAGACGCTGCAAAATCATAAGTGCCAGCATCAAATAACGGCTGACGACGATTATGCTGTTGGCGAGTGGATGATAGCTTGTTCTTGACAAAGAAAACACCGTAGAAAACCGAATGGACGCCCGACGGTTTCGGTGCAGTGGCACACCGCTTCTCGCCGCGATCGGTGCCATGCTGAATTTGTCATTGATTGATCGAAACCCTTACGTCATAGTGATGAGCGGCCGTAGTTGGACGTGCATAATACAGGTTGACAGTGGTACCCTTTACTTTTAAATGCGAAGCATTTCTCAGCGAACTTCGGCGACGTTGAGAATATCTATCTATTTATCTAGCCGCCTACAATATTTAGCTCTCCTGGCCGTTTCCATAATGGTATCAATACCAAACTTGGCATGCCTAACATGACTGTTTGAAGAACACATTTGACAAGTTATAACATGAAAATCATGAAATGAATGTCATGAGTGTCGTGCTTTACATTTGATGGTACTGCAGCTCTTGCAGTGGTTTAGTTCACATGGCATGTTGCAAAACTGGTATGGTACGACATGATTGCATGGCGAACACAAGCGACAAACCCTAACATAAAAGTCATGACATGCGTGTAATGTACCTACATGAATACATGCCAAGCTCACGATGTGCTTGCGGCTGTTTCGCTAGCGTCACATATACCGAATTTGGCATTAGGGTACGCGAATAGATGATGAATATAGGTAACTGGTGCAAACATGATAATTAATAGATGCGTGTCATGCAAAAACATGACTACATGCCACGCTAATGATGCGCTGGCGGCCGTTTCGCTAGCTTCACTTATGCCATATTTCGTATTACGGGAGGTGAATGAATTACAAAAGTACGATACTGGTGCAAATGTGATAAACATGAGATGATTGTCATGTAACAACATTACTGCATGCTACGCTAATGATGCACTTGCGACCGTTTCGCTGGCTTCCAGTGTATTTGTTATTACGTGACGCGAACTGACGACATACGTAAATGACACATAAAAACAGGATAATCCCGACATGCGTGTCATGTGAAAACCTGACTACATGCCACTTCTATAATGTGCTCGCGGTCGTTTCTCTAGCTTCACACAAGCCAAACTTGGTATTACGTGACGTCAATAAATGACGAAGGCATGGGATTGGTGCCAACATGATAATCATGAGATGTGTGTCACATGACAACATAGCACAGTCAAGTCGCCAATACATTTCGACGTGACGCGGTGCGCGTGCTCGCCGGCGTTCATTTCGACGCGTGATGCCGGCGTTGCGACGCCAGGCACTGGTCCAGCCTTAGACTCGCAGGCGCGCGTCGCGCTGCGTTGCTCTGACGTGTGCGCGTTTCAGCGCGTCCGGCAACCCTCCGTCATGAAAACAGGGAGACGCAGTGTTGTTTGGGTAACGCATTGGCGTGAAATGCAGCGTGGCGCATTTTGCGACGGTTGCCGTCAGCCCGCGCCGACAGACGCTGGTCGTGCCTGGCATCAAACTATAGAGTGCTCGCGTTTTGCTAACGTAGAGTCACTGTGCCCAGCATGCGCGCGCGTCAACGCTACATTGGAGTATATTGGGCCCTTCATGATGCGCTCATGGCCATTTCACTAGTTCCACATTTACCAAATTTGGTGTTAAGTGACGTCAATAGATGACGAAAATGTGTGACTGGTGCAAACATGATAATCCTGACACGCGTGTCGTGTAAGAACATGGCAAAATACCACGCTAATAGCATGCTCGCTGCCGTTTCGCTAGCTCCACGTGTACTTAATTTCGCATCACATGACGTGAATAGATGACGAAGGTAAACGACACATCCAAACATGATAATCATGACACAGAAGTCATGTACGGCATCATTCACTTCCACCTCGTAACGTTGTGCTGATTTTAAAATGACATGTCACCCTTTCTTATTTGTGCTTCGCATATCATCGATTCCAACTGTTCGTGGGATCTGCCAATTATTTAGTCTTAGCTTGTCACCGACAATAGTTGGTATTGATTCACATCTACTGTAAGCCCGCTTGAAAGCCTAAAAGTTATGCTCAATGTGAAACAAAAATAGCAAATCTCACGTACCTTGAAAATTGGTTTTATGCGATGTATGCGGAGAAAAGGTGACTGCTGTAATTTTTTATTCAGCAATCGCTGCGAAGTGACTAGTAAGATATGTATAAATTATGTGTGTCCACGTGGATTTTGAACAGTCGCGCACGTTTTATACTTCCAGTCGCATACATGATCCTACCGTAATCGTTGTATCAGACACGCTAGATTCACAGATGTCTTATTATAAACCCATACAATCTTCTTGTATCAAAATTATTTGCTATCAACTGGCCGAAATGGCTACATTGCTCTACTCTCCCGGCTGCGGCGGCTGCATTTCCGATGGAGGCTGAAATGTTGTAGGCCCGTATGCTCAGATTTGGGTGCACGTTAAAGAACCCCAGGCAGCCGAAATTTCTGGAGCCCTCCACTACGGCGTCTCTCATAATCCTATGATGATTTTGAGACGTCGAACCCCACATATCTGATCAATTGTATTGCTCTACTAATCAATGGTCTGAATAGTATGTTATCACCTTCTTCATTACGGTGCCTGTTGAATCATCTTGAGTGACCTAACGTGAGCCAACTGCTTGCTGTAAGGAAATAGAAAGTGCTTGTATTCTGCATCGCCGTCTGTTGCTCCACGCATGAAACAACTTTTTTCCTACGAAGTTACCCATCGTTGAAAGAGCTCACATCTTTTGTATATATTATGATTTTAGGTACACCAAACACACCTGAATATAACTAGCGGTCACTTGAGACAAAGCCTAGTGACGGCAACAAACTTGAGGGAATATCTCATCCTTTTTTGTACGCCATTTTTAAGTGTTTAATTCAAACCTCAAGTACTGAATATATTGCAAAATTTCTGTTCCTGAAATTCTTCAAATGTAGCATCCTTTAACTAATTCGAGCCATCAAATGCACATAGATGTACATCTACTATTCATTCTATCGTCCATGTTTTTTATTCTTGCTCCTCGACTTATAAGAGCATATAGCAGTGAAGTGAAAATATTCTACAAGCCTAACATCGTCCTATAAATACTTTGAGTAGACCTCACAAGCTACTTTGAAAATAACTGCTTTTCCTGACCCTTTTAGCACTAAGTATTTAAAATGCCTTAATGACGCAGTTGTGGATACTCAAGGGCCTTTGATAAATCCAAGCTCGAGGATCCCGAAAATTATGCTGGAGGCGAGTTCATGCTTGTATGAACATCGGCCGAGTCATATATAAAGGACTTTGGCCAAAGAGTCGAGCATGCCACCATTCAGTGATCGTGTGCCTGATCCGCACACATTCGTTCCAGTAATATTGAAAGGGTTAACTCTAGTGCCCGTGAAAGCTTTGCTGACCGTTAATGTAGTGTTTGTCTCTGTGTACAAATGTGTCATTTTACAGCCTGTTTTATGCTTGCACAAATACACCCCACTAAACCACAGGCATTCCAGAGATCCTAATGTGCACTCAGTGAGGCACAACATGCCAATTCATGATAATAAATGTCTTTAAGAAGCATGAAATATTTAGAACGAATTACGTTGGTGACTTAGCTGTTTTCATTTTGTCGTCTAGATGTTGACGTGCTATACCAAAAAAATTATAAGAAAAGTATTCATAGTTGGAATTCAGACAGGCTCCACACATTTGAGTACAGAAAAGAGATGAAAAATAGGAGGGTGTGAAGCAGCCTCAGTGATTGTCTTGTTTGTGCTCCCCTTAAATCTCAAAGTGTGGTCCTTTGCAAAGGCCGGCTTGTCAGCCATTCATACATCTCATGTAGCGTAATCAAGCTGAAATTGAAGTGGTGAATACAAACCTTAAACTAGGGTAGCGATGCTCGGAATTATGTTAGAATTAGCGAAAGATGCTTAAAATAGCGCTATTAAGAAAACAACACAGAAATCATTGCCATAATTGATTGTGACAATTATTCTCATAAATAATTGTCATAATTGATTATGACAATTATGTGCGCCGACGGGCGGCACGCCATCGCGGTATGCTTGCCGCTAGTGTGCGCGTGCCTTTCCTGGCTGTCGCCGGCGTTGCGAGGTTTAGCAAAGCCGATCGCGTTCGCGAATGGCGACGTCAACACCGACGAGGTGCGAGCCAGGGAAACCGAACGCAAGCGTCAGCAGTGGAAGACCAGCGACCCCTACGAGGTGTGAGTCGAGAACACCAATGGCATTCGAAAACACAGACGGCGCGTTGCCAGCACCGACGAGACGCGAGCCAAGGAATGCGAGTGCAAGCATATTCCACGTGTCCCGCCTCCCATGTCCTCACGCCTCAGGGCCATGTACATGGCAAACTACAGCCCGGTCAACTTTGTGGCCACGGTGAAGCTGGCAAACGTTCAAACAAACGTTCACTCGAGTAAACGCTACACTAAGCTTCGCTTCAACCAGTTCTTCCAGCACCCACATCGACGCCCGTTTCAGCCAGGTCAACGCCTTGCGCGCCGCTGCTGCTTCCAATCCCATCAGAGTTCTCTTCAGATGGTTCATAGTTTTTTTTCTTCCTGATTTCGCCTATGTCTCTATCGCTACATATAGCGTCCAATGAAAAGGTAGAGTAATCAGTGTACAAGAACATTAGCACTGAACTTTTGCTTTATTTTTATGCGTTACCAGATGTGACCATTGCTTATGGTCTGCTCGAAAAATATGCCGTGATCATGAGCAGCGACAGCGGAAGCAGCCAACAACTGTAGAAGCAGTGTTGCAAGCTCCCCTAAAAAACCTCATGGCGCAGGGCCGTGTACTTGGCAAACTACCGCCCGGCCAACTTTGTGGCCACGGTGAAGCTGGTAAACGTGGACCGTTTCAGGCGGCACAAGCAAGCAGCCATGGATAAAGTGGTCGCATCGGTCATCAAAAACCCATTCCTTGTGAAGTACTACAGCTGCTTCTGTGTCAAGGTGAACTATATATTGCCAACATTGATTATAGCTCGATCAAACATGTCTGAGTGGGCTCACCACTTTAAATTTTGCACGCCACATTCGTGATAAATCACTTGTTTCTTATACCAAAAGAGAACTTCTCTAATGGTAGCTAATTTATTAGTGCAGCAACTAAGCATATTGCGGAAATATTAAAAAAGAAACAGAAGGCCAGATATACATAGGTTGGTTTACACATCACTCGCACATCAATGCCTATAAATGTGCGAACGACGCAAGCAATTTTTTAGATATTATTAGCACCCATACGCACAGTTTATATAACAAAATAAACGAAGAGGAACGTGGGTTCACAAGACGACAATGAGACAGAGGCAATAGAATGTGTAACATCACACCAGATATTCGAATAATTCGTAAATTCACAGTTTCCTTCTGGGAGCCTAATAACAGACAGCAAAAAGTGCCCTTCAAATGTAGGATGCATCGCGCGCCGTGACCGTAAAGCAAGGCTGTCTGCCATCCAGCAGACCCGGTATATGTACGAAGAGTGTGACAACCGAGTTTTGCAGCTCAGCTCTTGTTGTTGCGTCAATCCTGAGAGCATTAGTGCATTTATACTGCCTCTATTATTGCATGCATCATTTTACAACACAGGAGGCGTACGTGACCGTCATGGAGTACATTCCTGGCCTGGATCTTATGCGTGTGGTCACCCGGGAAGACTACCTAGACATCGATTCCTGCCAAATAATCATGGCGCAACTGATACTGGCACTAGAACACTTGCACCTTCGTGGCTTCTTGCATCGAGACATCAAGGTGTCTAAGTAAGCAGCCGCGTTAACAATCGAGCAAATGTTATGATGGCCTTTGCGCTGTACTGAAGCAGGATCATTCATTAACAGATGCTAGAGTGGCAAGAATGACGTACAATTGATAAATTCTGCTTTTCTATCATCACATGGTGGCACTGTTCTTTCAATGGCGATATATTTCGTGACCTTTATTGAGGGAGGAAGACAACAAAATTGCACGTTACAATTTCGTACTCTCCTTTTTGCGTGGAACCTGAAGGGACCAAGAAACAGTTTTAATGGTGCCTATCTCCTTAAGCGCAAGGGAAAGCTCACTGCTCCTTGCGTCTATTCACGGAATGCGTAGTAAAGTGAAAAACGTCGCAAAACTTGTCTAATCACGGTTTTATTGTCAGCCGCTGATATTGGTTTGTATACTCGCATGCTGAAAACAGAGAGCAGTTTGTGTCACTTCTCTTCGAGCAACTCCGTTTACATTGTAACCAGCACCAAATTGAGCAGGGCTGGATTATAATATCTCTAAGAACGGCAGGAATGCAGCTACAATGTAGACGCTGCAACAGCACACAGCTGCCATCGTTCGACTTGTTCGCAGGATCTCGTTTATGCGCTGTTGAAAGTAAATGCGTGTACGCGCTCTTGGTGGACGCACCTTGATCGGGACCGCATAGCTTCGTCGCCGACGTGGCAGACATTAGCGGCGACCCGGTTAGTTCCGCCTCTGTGAGGAAACCATCAAGGTAGCCGCAAAAGTCACCACCTCGCTTGCGCGAACGATTACAGATCCATCCCCTATCTTTTCTGATTCAATGACGGCTGCGGGTGGTTTGACGCTGACGAAATCTCTTTGGCTGCTTACAACATTCTTGCTAATGGCACAGAATTCCCTCACGAGTTGACGTGGTTCCCCGCCTCGAGAGAGGGCATCTCCAACCCCGAGGATGTCGCTCATGCTCTGACTCAAGAACTCAATCTGTGCCCCGGGCTAATGAGCCCCCCTCACACTGTGGGCAATGGAAGCGGTTATAGGACCGATGAGGACCTTGCACCATCTTCCATGAGTGATGTTCGCACTACAAATAAGGCAGACACAGCAATTTGTGTGGTTAAAATTTATTCTTAAATTATAGGAAATAAAACAACAAACAATGCCTTATCTGCTGCACTGGATAATTGCAGGCTACAAAACTTTGAAAATTGAATAAGACAAGTTTACAATGGTATTTTTGAAGAAGCAGAGACAGAGAAAAAAGTAGAGAGTGCCACCACCCTTTCCAATCACCTCCATGAGAACGAGTGAAGACTCCGTGATATTCTGCCACAAACTACATAACTTACACACATATAAAGCCTCATTCTTGACTTACAGACACAAGTTTTAAAAACGGTAGTCTTTCTTGAGGGACTTCGACGCAAAACTTTTGATCTGTCTGCCTGGTTTTCTGTCTGCACCATTGTCTGTTTGTCCACCGTAACGATACCCCAAACGGCCATCCCCATTGGCAGCACCCACCAATATTGCTCAAATTTAAGCGTTCATACTCGTGTGAATGCAAATTTTTTTAAAAAACCGGCAGATCCCACGTACAGTCGGAATGAATGATATGAGAAGCACAAATGATAAATGTTGATATGTTACTTTAAAATCAGCACAACGCTACGAGGTGGAGGTAAATGATGCCGTACATGGTCGTACATTATCACGTTTGGAGGTGTTGTTTACCTTTTTTATCTATTCACGTGAAGTTATACCAAATTTAGTATATGTGGAGCTAGCGAAATGGCCGGGAGCACGCTATGAGCGTGGTATGGTTTCATATTATTACATGACACGCGTGACAAGATTATCATGTTTGCACCAGTTAAAAAATTTTGTCATTCATTGACGTCACGTAACACCAAATTTTGTGAATGTGGAGGTAGCGAAATGGCCGCGAGCACATCAAGAATGGCCCAATACACTCTAATGAAGCGTCGATGGGTGCGAACGCTAGGCACAGCGATGCTACGCTTGCAAAATGCGAGTTCTCTATATATTCCGACTCCAGGCGCGACCAGTGTCCGTAAGTGTGGCCCGACGGTAACTGGCGCGAAATGCGACGTGCTGCGATTCGCGCCGATGCCTTACCCAGACAACAGTGCGTCTCCCTCTTTTTGTGACCGAAGGACGTCGAACGCGCTAAAACGCGCAGGCGTCAAAGCAACGCAGTGCGGCACGCGCCTGCGAGTATATGGCAGGACTGGTGCGTGGCGTGGCAACGCCAGCGTGACCCGACAAAATGAACGCCGGTGAGCACGCGCACTGCGTCACATCCAAATGTATTGGCGCCTTGACTGTGTCAAGTAGTCATGTTCTCACATGAAGCGCATCCCATGATTATCATGTTTGCACCAGTCACATACCTTCGTCATCAATTGACGTCACCTAATAGCACATTTGGCAAATGTAAAGCTAGTGAAACGGCCGCGAGTGCATCATGAGCGTGGCATGTGGTCATGTTGTTGCTTTACACGAATGTCGAGATTATCAAGTTTGTCTGCGTCATTTACCTATGTCGTCTATTCAAGTCACGTAATACCGAGTTTGGTACATGTGAAGCCAGCAAAACGGCCTCGAGCGCATCATGAGCATAGCATGTAGTCATGTTGTTACACGATAGGCATCCTATTTTTAGCATGTTTGCGCCAGTACCATACCTTCGTCATGCATTCACGTTCCGTAATACCGAATTTCGTATAAGGGAAGCTAGCGGAACGGCTGCCAGCGCATCATGAACGTGGCATGTAGTCATGCTGTTACGTAATACGCATCTCATGATTATTATGTTGGCCCCCACATACCTTCGTCATTCACTTACGTACCGTAATACCAAATTTGGTATATGTGACGCTAGCGAAACTCCCACGAGCGCATCATGAGCTTGGCATGTCGTCATGTGATTACATGACACGCATGTCATGATTTTCATGTTAAAGGCTGTCATTTGTGATCGCAATGCAATTATGTCATACCATACCAGTTTTGCAACATGCCATGTGAACAAAACCACCGCAAATGCTACAGGAACATGAAATGTAATTCATGACATTCATGACATCCATATCATGAATTTCATGTTATCACTAGCCAAACATGTTCTTCATACAGTCATGTTATGCCATGTCAAGTTGGGTATGAATATCATTATCAAAACGGCCAGGAAAGTTAAACATCGTAGGCGGCTAGATAGATAGATAGATAGATAGATAGATAGATAGATAGATAGATAGATAGATAGATAGATAGATAGATACGCACAAAGTCACCCAAGTTTGCTAAGAAATGCTTCACATTTAAAAACAATCTTTGCGCACATCTAGGCACCATAACACGTCAATATTATTTTTGTGTGTATTTTACTTGGGAAGGCATACATAAGAAATTCTGGGGACAGAAGCGTTGATCACGCTGCTTGGACAATGTAACGCTATGTTAAAAGGCAATTGTATTCAACGCTTTGCTAAGACAACACGGTGGTGGCACCTGCCCGTCACTTCGCCTTCTACACCTTATCGCCTCCGAGACAGATGCGCATGCCTTCCTTCGTTTTTGAAGATAACTGCCAGATAGCGCTCGTGTGGCCTTCGCTGCATGGATCAAGAAACTCTAACGCAGCACTTTCAGTATACGATTCACCGATTTTTTCGCGCAGAACATCAAATAAACGTTTTGTTCCCGCTCTCCAGGCGGAAGACTACCGTCTTTCGACATTTGCTGTGAAACATGCAGATACATGGCCAATCTTTTTGCCGCTGGTGTAGTGGAGATAAAGAAGATACACTCGGGGCAAAGTTGCTGTTCACGGAAAATTTAACAACGTAGACGACGCCGTTTTTATACCCTGGCGTTACATGCAGCAACCGTCGCTATGTGCTGCGTACGTGTGGTGCGCAGTATCATGGAGGAGAACAGCGTCGTGACCTTATGCAGTTTACGGCAAACGTTTTTATCCATTACTGATATCTTAGCGTCAGTGTGAATAAGTGCCATTGTGGCATTCACTTCTTCCATAACGTCAAGTAAGTTGCGTGGTGAGTGTGCAGGCCTTGCAGAAGTCACAAAGCTGGCAGTTCGTGCCTGCGGAACTGCAACAACTACTTTCACTCGCTAGGTGATTGCGACGACGCAAGGGTGAATGCGAGCGACGGTGAGGTGAAGGGAAGCGCTGAAACGTGAGGCTGTCGTGAAGGTGGCGAAAAGGCTGAGCTGTGCTGCGTAGTATATGTGTTCAGTAGCTTCATCTGCGTAGCAGCCGTAGACAGGCGTTTCGGAGGGTAAATGAGCAGGTGGCCTGTGACGGTTGCAGAAACGGGCCGTATAAACGGCGAAACCGAAGCGAAGCATATGGGCTGGTTGTCTCGTGTTAACCAGAGATTCAGAACCCTCTGGCCTTGATATGACGTAGGTGGCGACGGTGAAGGCTTGGCTGTTGGCGGGCACTTTGAGGCAGAGAGGATGAATCTTTGTGCCGTTGTCGATAGCGAAGGTCGCGCGACGACTGTGGCCTTGTGAAAGGTACAGCCACAAGGGAACACGGTTGGGCCAAAGGTGTCGACTCGGCAAGTTGGACGCGGAGAGCCCTTCTAGTGGGAGCAGCAGAGACGCGCTAGGCTTTATGGGCTCTTCGGTAAGAGGTAGCATAGACAGTTGGCGTGGCACCTCCTGCCAAAGGAAGTCTTTCATTGAACATATTTGAACACAGCGCACGACTACGCGGAAACAAGAGAAGAGACAAACCGTAGCACTGGGGTTTGTCTATTATCTTGTGTCCACGTAGTAGTGCGCTGTGGTAAAGTATGTTCACTCTAAGGCAAGATTACCCGAAAAAGAAGTAACGGAGTCCAATAGGCACGCGCGATGAAAGAATAGACCGTTGAGGAGCAACTACAGAGAGAAGCGTGGCGTGTGCAAACCACTCGGTCTCCAAATACGCTCCAAAGGAATGAACTGCCCGCAAAATGTGGGCAGTGCT